TAATGCTGACCACACGATAATTCCCCCTGAGATCACTACAGTGACGGTACGTGCTGTATATAAATAGCTTGCTGTTGAACTTTGAAGGACGTGCTCCTCAATGGCTCAGTGCTAAACGCCTCGAACTCACGAATCAGAGGACCCAAGTTTATTTGGTGTGCCAGAGTCTTTTTTCGGAATTTTTTCTTTATTGCATTTTTATATACATCGGTACGTATACATATAAGGGGAGTGACGTCGACGCCGACACCTGCGGCAAGATCTAGCTGAGAGTGGCCATATAATTGCTATCGCAATAATGGACAGCTTACTCTATGAGCGCGAAGACCAGTGCCTATGTGTTTCTTTTGTAACGAATGAACAGATGCTTTCACAGTAAAGAACGGCGCAAAAAACCGCGGACATACGACTATCAGAACACAAGGACTGGCGCTCGTAGTTATGTTCTCATAATTTATGTATCCTCTTTTGTTTTTGCGCAGTTCTTAACTACTAACCCTCGCCTAGTCACTCAACTGTCATTGAGCAGACATTTCGTCTGCTTGAAAAAAGTTCGCCATATTGTTGTAGAGGTTACCATTCTCGGCAGCTCACCAGGTTGCGGGTTCGATCTTGACTGATGCGGTTCCATTTCGTTGAAGGAAAAATGTTGGAGGCTCATGTGCTGTGTGATGTCAGGTTACCAAAAAAAACGACACCAGATAGACAAAATTTTCACAGCCCTCATTTACAGTGCCTCTCGCAGTCGTATTGTGCTTTTGACACGTAAAAATTTCAGATAATATAGTGTTTGAGAAGCTCGTTACGAAGAATTCTGGTGTCGGCTTCATTTGCAATAGGAGAAATATCAGCGCCGTTAGTGATTACAAAGTTCAGAAAGATCAAACAAAGCCGTTGTACATGTCAAGCAGGTGTTCTATCACAAAGAAACGCACTTGTTCGAAATATATTTCGAAAAAAAATGCTCTATGAATGTCAAGTAAGGGCAGGAGTCTCCTCGACGCCTATAGTAGCGCCTCACAGCAGACACCAAGGCAAGACTATATCGCTCGCTTGACACTTTTCGCTAAAAGAAACCTCCAAGACACGTCTTCATTTAAATATCGTCACCTCCTAGTTACGAGCCGTTGCGGTCTGGCGTAACAGACAAGCCGCGCTAGCTTTCTCGCTTTCGACCTTATCATTTGATGCTGAATATTTCGAAATACGTGCAACTTTCAAAGTTTTTAAAAACTGATGCGCGACTAACTTGCACGCAGTAGAGATGAAATAGATGATCAGAGTTTCTTTTGGCAACCACAATATAAATTATAAACTTAGAGAATAGTGCAGTAGAGGAACCAAAACAATAATTTATTTAAACTAACTATCTCGGCTGGTGGACAAGCCGAGACTGTTAGTATAAATAAATTATTGTTTTGCTTCCTATACTGCACTATTCTCAAAAATGATAATATATATATATATATATATATATATATATATATTGATAATGATACGTTCAATATTATTGTAAAATAATTTATATTGTAATGATAAGATGAATACATGAATACTTCATTAGCAAGCTTTCGATTATTACGTAGTACACCCTGCACTTTTTCTGAGAATCAGGATAATAATCTAATTCTTATTTAGGAAGGATGTGGTACCTTCATACTGATAGCTACGAAATAGGGCAGCACACGGTTATAATGGTATTTGTTCTTCGTATGGTGTATTTTATCAAGTAGAATAAACCTTGCACCTTCAAGTGTTTCCGAATAGGTCATTCAGTATATTGCGGCTCCTGAGTGGCGTGGCACACTTTATTCATAATATTACGCATCGACCATGAAGTAAGTCGGTCAGTCAAGGACTTTAATAAATTGTCCGAGCAATTTAAGCCACCAGGGTGTCCACGAGGGACATTCTAGCAGCTGCTACTGTAGGCGACGCCCAAGTAGGGGCTGGCACGTGATGGCGTTCTGCCAGTTTTTTTGGCCCTCTGGACTGTCTTCTGCTGGTTTCTGAGACTGGGACCCCTGAGTGCCTCCTCCCAGTCGGACTCACTAGTGAGAGATCCTCGAGGTAACGCGCGACATCGCCGGAGCATGTGTTCGAGTAAACAGTACACTTCTGAGCAGTCTGGGCATTGGGAATCTATGTCTGAGTTGTAACAGCTGAGTCGGCCCCGTGAAAGAACGATCTCGTTTGTAGCATGCGAAAAGCTACCTCTTGCGCGCGTTCGAGCTTTGCATGTGGTAAAGGATATTGGCTTCTATCGTTTCGGTAGTATGAGGTAATTTCGTGAAAGGTGAGTAAAGGATCAATAAACTGTACGTCTGGGCCCAGCTCTTTGGTGGCTGACTGATCGTCGCGGCGGGTCAGTTCTCGCGCTCTATGTTGAGCCATTTCGTTGCGGTTGGGTTTCTGTGGGTGGACCTCTTTGCCCATGTGGCCAGGAAACCTAGTGAGCTAGTGCAAGCCCTTGCATATGTGCGTTTTTAGAATGTGGGTTACTTTTCGAGCGATGTTGCCGCTTTCGTAAGCCCAAATTGCAGCGCGAGGGTCTCTGAAGACATGGGTGTGTGACGGGTCGACCATCGCTAATCCTATAGCAACCTGCTCGGCTGTGGCGCTCGTTACTAGCCTAAACGACGCGGATGAGCATAGGGCTCTGTTGCCATCTACTACCACTAGTGCGAAGGCGGAGGAGTTATTGTATTGTGCCGCATCGACGAAGACGGTAGAGTTGAGATTCGCAGCGGTACGGCTGGGGATCACACAAGCGCAGGCCAGGTGTCTGCCTTTGTTGTGTTGCGGGTGAGCATTTAGCGGAAATGTATCTACCATGTAGGTAGCGCGGACAGCTCTGGGGAGGGTTACAGCTCATTCAAGGTAGAGATGTGGAAACATGCAAGCCTCGCTGAGAAGTTGGCGGCCTGGCTTGGAGGAGGAGAGGCGTATCACTCTGGCCGTGGTCTGGGCCTCGATCACTTCATCGATGTTTTTGTGCATGCCAAATTGGTCGAGACGCGGAGTACTCATGTTTTGAGGTAAACCAAGGACTTTTTTAATGATTTTGCGGATGAGTGTGTTTAGTTTTACCTTTTCCGCGTTCATCCAGTTGTGGGCAGAGGCGACGTAATTGATGCGGCGCACAGGAACGCGTGGTATATGCGCAGAAGGTTGGTCTCTCCAAGGCCTCGCCTGCGACCCGAGACTCGCTGAATCAGTCGGAGCATGTTTTTCGTTTTCGCTGTGATGTGTGTTATTATTCATGCATGGCAGCAGTGGCCTCAATCAGGAGGCCGAGAATGCGCATGGCGTCCACGCGGGGTATTCGTTGCCCGTCTTTGGCGTGTAGCGCTATGGGTAGTTCATATAAGGGCGTTCAATTATGAACACCTTGGCGAGATGACCGCTATAGTAGCGACCCTGATTTTGTGGGTGGCAGCTAGTTGCAGTCCAGTGTTTGTTAGTTAGGCCTCTGTGGTATTGAAAGTGGTTCGAAGGGCCTGCTCTATCTCCGCCAAGGAGCCTCCCTGGCACCAGTTGGTGATGTCATCTGCGTCTATAGCATGGTTTATGCAAGGGATGTCGCCGAGTTTGTCAGACAGTTCCCTCAGTACTATGTTAAAAAAGAGTGCAGAAATTACTGCCTCTTGTAGTGTCCTGTTGGAACCTAATGTATAGGTGCCAACTAAAAACAACTAGAAAGGCCCTCGATGACTGCCTGTTACTGAAATGGTGCGCAGCACAATGTGAATAGGACAATCAAGTCCGGCTACCTTTCTTTAACCAAACCAATATGGCCTACCATACCGTAAAGCCTTCTCGCTGTGTTCCTACTTCTTCTCCTTGCCTGTTTGATATTTGTTGCTTACTTTCCTAGTTTCTTTTCTGCTATCTTGCTTTGCGCTATTCCCTCCTCATCAAAGCGCAGACAGGCTTTGTGCCTTTTTAGGTGACAGGTATTAGCTCTGTTCCTAGCTATTTACAGAATGACAAGGTGTATTTGTGCAATATTATTAATAATAATAATAACATTAATAATAATAATCATAATAATAATAATAATCATAATAATAATAATAATAATAATAATAATAATAATAATAATAATGCACAAAAATCTAGCAGCAAGTATAGTTAGGTGACCAACTGCCACAATAAACACATGTTTCTCGCGCAAAGAGTGCGCGTGAAAAACTGAGGGCGTATTGTTACTACGACCCTTCACATTGAGCCCAAATATGAGGTTAGGAGCACATATAAAGTGCTTTGGGTGAATGCCCTGAGCTATTGCTGCCCGTTCATCCAGTGCACCCCCTCAGAAGTGTTCATGTGAGGTATCAGAGTTTAATATTACATGTGCGAGAAAAGGTACACGTAGAAGCGTTGCTGAAGTGTGATCGCCACTATTCCGACATTTTGATATTTTTTGGCCACAGGTAATATAACTACGTCAGGAAATAAGAGAGCCTTAGCTCATTTATCAAGGTGCAGTTTACTCGCACGGCAATAGTTTAACTCTTAAGAGGCGCCAGCCATATCTGCGTCTTACCGGTGCTTTTTGCAGTCTCTGGTATACTGGAGTGCGGGACAGAACACAAGATAGATCACAAAGCCCGAATCGGTTCACCTACGATATATATTTTATGTTTAGCACAATGGGGAGTACGTTGGGGAACACTGTTAAACAGGCATATAGGAGTACTTTTCTCCCACAGCAAAATAATATACCACGGGAGCACTTGGCTTTCACTTGCTGAAAAATTGTCACTCACAACGTTTCTTTCAAATGTGTTATATCTTGCCCAGAGTGCACTCGTCCTTGATGAGCTAGAAAAATCAGAGGCACTGCGATAACCTCAAGAAGTTATATCACATACACCATTGTTATCTTTGTGCGATGAAAAAAGGATGGCCTAAGTACCCGTGTTTAGGTAATGAAAAAATAATCACGCACTGCAAAATTTCACTTTGCTTCTTCCGTTTGTTCTTTTTATACACAGGCCATATTGAGAAGATAGACCTGAGGGTTTGGAACACATCTAATATAGCCTCCTCGGCGCAGCCTTGCCTTCCAGTGTTCCAAAGATGGTCAAGTACACCAGCGCATATCGTTTACAAAAGCATGTGCCAGAAAGAACTTGCAAAAGAACAATCATCGCAGGACCAGGATGTCGAAGGAAGAATTAACCCACGCGACTTTGTGTGTCGTAACTACGGGTAATTTTGTAAATGCAAGTGGAAACCATGTCGTGTTAGCCATCAGACTGTAAAAGGCATGTATGCAAATACAACATGTAATGTTGCGTTTTGAAATTATGCTTGCATCTAGACGTTACCTAGTGCTAATGCTGCAAGAAATATTTTTATTATTTTTCTTCGTGTCGGCCCTCTATGCTCCACTGGAGAAGCACGCAGCAGCATTAGCATACAATAAAATACGGGTCTGGTAATACTGACAATAGCACTCACTCCGGTTTCGGCAGTGATTGAAAGCCCTAAATATCTACACATGACGGCACAGCGCACAGAACTTTGTTGAATGTTTGAAGGAAGAGGACAAAAATAAAACGCGGGGAAGTTAATTAGTCCATCAGAAACAGTATGCTGCCCTACACTGATGCTAAACTAAATGTTTCCGTAACTGCTGATTAGATTGCATGCGCGAAGCACATTATGTGCATTGTGGTACTTAGGAGATACAGATTGTATGCTGCGTTATACGTTAAAGCATTTATAAAAGCCGAACGCTTATTGGGAAAATCAAAGCACCCGTCACCGGTGACGCCGTTCATGGCTATCGATGCGTAGAATGCAACTTTTTTTCTGAATACTAGCTCAACGAATACTAGAAGGTGGGTCTTAACTACATTCTTCGTAGCGACAGCTACGGTACATCTAGTGGAGGTGACCTAATCTTCCTGTACCGCGCCTCACAACAAGCCGTGAACCAAGCCACGCCGTTAAGAAAGCTATGACGCCACTCCGGATAATCAAGCAAGCAGTTATAGCTTCTGTACATTCAATTTCGCATGACGGGGTCGTGGCCAATGCTGTTTTTTTTTCTCTTTGTTCAGTACACAACGCCTTTGACTAACTGTAGCATACAGGAAATATTTTATATATGAGCATTCATCTGGTTTTCTTGCGACTTTAATACGATGTGTTTCTCACTTAAAAAAACAACGCGAAATCTCCGGTACCGTACAGAGCAATACAGAGTCATTTGCCACATTATCTTTTAAATGTAATGCATTTCTTGGCAAGCTGCAGGCAATTTGGCCATTTATAACTCCGTATCGATCTATGCCTCCGTTATATCTAGCCACCAATGCCGCGTGCTCCCATGATCCCCTCCTTACCTTGGGGTACCAAAATTAGCATAAGAAGGTCAGAATGTTTGGTGAAAGTTTTGGCTGGCCAGGACATAAATAACGCGAGAATCCTGTCGCGCACATCGTAAAAAACTGGTGCATGCTGTGCCATACGTCTTACAGGAGACATTCAGTGTTTCCATGGTTATTATTCAAATTTCAGGCTCACTTGCTTTGCCTCAGTACGTACATTGAAGCCTGTGATAGCCGAACAGGTTGTAATTGCTCTGGTTGTGCTAGATAGTCGCAGAGGGTGAATTTACAGTGACTATCAGGTGGCTATGAAGACCTACGAAACCGAGATGCTTGCTCCTCAGCCGCACCGCATTCTTCAAAGGGTCACGAGTATGCCGCCCCATTCTCACTTTGTTTCCCACTCACCTTGGGTCGATTGAGGGCTCTGCTTCTAAACCTAACGGGGGCGCACACAAGGCCGCACGAGGACTCACTGACCATGCCGCCTCCGCTGTCCCTTTGCCTCGCAGGGAACCCTTACTCACGTCCAATGAAACAACAAAACATTTCTATATGTCGAAACAGTATTTCCCCCTCTGACCCCCTGCCTCCTGCAGAGCGCATTCACTTACCCTTACACTATCGCAAGTGCTGTGTGTATCGTAATCCTGCGCTTCTTCATGCCACGTACCCGAAGCAGTATCCCAGCATGGACTGCCCTGCCTGGAGACTATTGGCAACATAAAATCATGTGTTGTGGAAATGTGAAGCCATCAGCTCCAGCTGCAGTGAGGACATGCGGGCAGCACTTTTGCGCAGCCCCAAACTTACCGATCCAACCTTGGCCATCCAGGAGGACCGTGAACGAGACACTAAGCTTGCCTTGTCATTTCCTACGTGAGATAATCCGTGTGACGCGGGGTCTGCCCTGCATCTACTCTGGACTAAAATAAAGTTTTATTCATCATCATTATAAGCATCTATCGCACATGCCCGTACACTTGCATGTGTAGCACGTATGCAGCCCGTGCTATGCGCCACAGGTGATTGTCAGCTTATATATTTTCCGATGGAGGCTGAATTGTTGTAGGCCCATGTGCTCAGATTTGGGTGCATATTAAAGAACCCCAGGTGGTCTAAATTACCGGAGTCCCCCACTACGGCGTCTTTCGTAATCATATGGTGGTTTTCGGACGTTAAACCCCACATATCAATCAATCAGCTTATATTTTTCTCGGAATGACGTTAACGGACATTCGTATTGACAATGCGAGAGCGTTAACGCAAACTGATAGCGGCAGTGCTGACTTCACGAATGCAATGAGTCGTTAAGGGGTCGCATCAGGAACGGAACCCACGAATTCTTCGTGGCAACCAATTATTCTACCAATGAACCACGTTAGGTCTAGATACTGCTTTGGGAAAAAACCCCATTCAGGCGTCCCGCGGGCGAAACGTCAATTGTGGTGGCAGTGTTAGCAATCAAATTTTTTAAACAATACATATCAGCTCCTTGTCACGCAGGTTAACGTCAGGTCTACTCCTAAGCACAATTCCCTGATATTGGTCTATGTAGGACAATTAGAGGCTACCATCCTCAGCAAGTATAAGCCGTACATGTCATATCACCGATTCTCTTGTTGCGATTTCACGGGCTACATGTTTGGAATTCCGTGGGCTACAAGTGGCGCGCGGTGCAATTCAAGATGGCTGGGGGAAGAGAGTCAACCCGTGAACTCGCATATGAAAAAAGAGGACGCATGAACGTACGTGCCGTGTCGCTTTCACCGGATGAACTCTTTATTGTCAAATTATTGTATTAATGTAGAACCGAAGTACTTTCCTAAACGATAAGAACAGTTGAATGTTTGCTACATTTTTTGCCGCACTGAGAAGGGTGGTGGTGTCAGCTGATCAACCGTGTAATAAAGATGCCTTGCGTAATTTTGTGCGTAGTACATAAAGCTGCGCGAAGTGGAATTGACGTATGAACTGAACGGCACTGCGAGATAATATGTGCCGAGCCTGCCTGACGGATCAGCCGCTGTAGTAGGCCTTAGCGAGTAGCACACCATCGCCTCTGCTCTGGACAGAATCTTTGACGTGGTGATGGTTTCCAAACATTTTACGCCATTTTTATTACTTGCGCTGTCAGCAACATAGAGTTGCTTCTTCAACAAAACACATGAATTTGATTTCCCATTAAGTAGCGCTTGAGTCACAGCTATGCTCAGGGACTAGCCGTACGCAATTCAATGCACTCGGGTGTTTCAGGTTCTATCAGCCAGATCGAAACAAGAACATCGAAAAAAATACGTACGTACTCCTTTCGCAACGTTCCGATTGCAAAAATTTGTAGAACAACAACGCCATTCGGAAGGTACTGGTAAAGTGCAGAAGAAATTAGCAGAAAGGCGTAGATTGTTGTCGTAACTGCACGTTCCTTCGCCCTAACCAGTTTGCTTCACTGGTCGAGCACGAACAGGCAGGCGGCATGAGGTGCTCTTTAAAATTCACTGTAATAGGGCTGAATGCAATGAAAAAATGCGTTAATTTTGACCACACTGAAGATCATTATATAATAATAAAAATAACTTCCGAGCGTGAAAAAAAAACATTATAGCACGAAGGCACTTGAAGCACAACTCTCTCCTCGCAATTATAACACCCTTAGGCGTAGGCCACACCCCCCTAACATCGGCTGCCACTTCCACTCCCAGGCTTCCACTTTACGTTTAGGCTGCTACACCTGAAAAGCTGCCAAAATTATACTTTTAAATTCATTTCCTGGCTGCTCGGCCCTAAGTGGTTGCACGTGTACTGACCTTTCAGTCAGACTGACGTACTCATTCAGCAGGCACGGCCGTTTCGTTAAAAACAAACAAGGATTTATTTAAGGCTAGAGCAACATTTAACCAGAAATAAATAAGAGCACACAACAAAAATACGCGATGAAAAGAACAGTTACAAAATCAAACTATGCTCTATAAAAACATTACAGCAGGTACAAGCAAACACAAAGCGGAATGCTAATGAAATCACATGATGAAAACCGAAGAGATTCGAAGATTCCAAGTTTCAACGTGTGACGCAGCGCACACTAACACAATATTTAAAAACATGGTGTAACAAAATAACTGTCGAGAAAAAAATCACAATAGAAAGTTTCCTACGGACCATTTCAACTCGTGGTTCACGTATGCAAGGGAGTTGACGGGGTTCCGCTGGAGGTCTCGCCAGCTTAGTAGGCGACGAGGATGTCCGATGTTTCAGCCGCCCCAATACTGCATGCTCACCGCTACAGCCGCACATACTCAATACAGCCGCCCCATACATTGCATGCTCACTGCCTACGCGGGACTCGCGACACCAGCAATCACACTTCTCGCTCGTTCAACGCCATCTGCCGAAACATTCAAAATCTCTTTGGGGCGTACGCACCCCACTTGCGGTCATTTTTCCCAAACAACTACGTGCTTGCTTTCGGTAAAGCCGCTTTCGCTTCATTCGATGCCATGTGTACCCACCTATATATCTGCCCAAGCTAGCCGAACCCGTCAGTGAGCGAGCCACTGTTCTCCTTGTTTTCTGAAGATACCTACCTCGTCTTCTTCGTTTGACAACTTTCGATCTTAGTTATCCTAAAGCCAGAATGGACAAAGGCGCTCCAAAACAATTGCGTATGGGAGCTTCTAAGTGAATCAGCCGGCGGCTTCTTTAGCACTCCCCGTCGAAAGGGGCGCGTCGGGTGTCCAGAGAGCGATCCCACACAAGCACCAGAAGAGGGAGAGTAGGTTGCTTAGTCGCCAATAACCGAAGGCCTTGGTTAGAACAGTTTAGTGAAGTCTGGCCATCTATGGCTCACGCATGTGGTTGCAAGCTTGCAGATCACGGTAGCGGCAGTGGACGAAAATCAGATGTGTGGCAGAAAAGAAACAGCAGCGACTATGGCGGGGAAGAAAAGGTGGAAGATGAGGAAGAAGCCAACATTCTACATTGTTAGCACAAATGCACAGGCCTATTTCACGTGAGTCAGGCATATTTTACTGCTTTTTAGCTTTATTACAGATCGCGTTGCTTTTTAGTTGACAAAATAAATTGAATAAGTTCAAACAACACAGCTAA